CATTTGGGACATCCTGCAGGTTTTAGAGGGGGCTTTACAATCCCGTACTGCTGCTTTTCCAGCTGTGGGGAAGCTGAAATACTGGTGAATCTTGCTGTGCTGGTTTGCTGTTCCACCCCACCACTTTCCTCCTGGGGCAGCTCCTAATAGAAAAAGGGGGACAAGCTGGTTCATGAATTGCATTGCTGCATCCCATGAATGAGTCCATGAACGCACCAGCTGGGCTCACTCTCCGTGGTTCAGGAGCTTTCCAAAACCAGTCAGGACCACAACCTTAGATGTACCTGTGTGGCTGACAAACAAACTGGGGACTGGCTATGGCTGCCTGGCTTCTCAGCACTGATAATTCTCTCAGCAGCAGCCTCCCAATGACTGCAGAGCTTGTAGGCTAAACAGGGCCCAGCTTCACTCTCAGAGCATACTTTAGAGAATCACAGAGTCCATCACCCTGAATTATTTGAATGCTGGTGCTCAGGTGATCAAACTGCCTTGTGTGATTTCCTTGGCATGGTCCCTGCAGGAGGAAACAATTTCCCAGCCCCTTTGAATCTCCAGTTCTGATGGCAATCCTGAAGGGAAGGAGGGGTAGGAATTAAATGTATTGACTGCTCCATCTCTCTGCCATGTTATATGATGCCTCCCTCATAAAATATAATGAAGGACAGAGATCACAAAGTACCGAAGACACAAAGCCATAAGTCCAAAAATCAGAGCTTTGACTTACTGGTGTATCCTGCTGTGGTCAAACCACACCAACCCACTACAGAACCGTGACTGGCTGGATGCTGAGCTGGGCTGACACTGAAATCCTGCTATGTAACCACCTAAATTAAAGCTGCATTTCATTTGGTCTGAACTGTTAATTGTCCTGGCAATGAAAGTCCACTAAGACTCCAGGTACCTCTCCTGCTCTGCAGGGGGATCCAAGGATCTTCAGCAAATACAGTAACCAATATTTTAGCCAGTTGTATCTTGATTTAGGCCTTTGTAAATGCATACCAGAATATTTATTTCACAGGGGACTATTTAGCAGGGTCAAAGTCTTTAAACGTCAAAACTCTGAATTTAGCAGCCTGTAATCTCAAAGTGTTACTACCAAACAGACAGTTCTCATAATAAACCTTTTGGCAGCACACCACCATCTGCTTTTAATAGAAAAGGACTTCTTAAGCAATTTTGTTAATTTGATTTATGACAAAAAGAAATACGGAGAGCGTAAAACCTCAGGAAGAGAACAGCAGGGAAGGCAGCTCTGTGATTACCTTCCCCTGCACACATGTAAACTGTGACTGAGGTAAAGTAATAATGAGACTTAAAGTTACTACTTCTCCATGGAGCACATCAGAAAGCGGAGTGAAAGAAAACTGCGAGGCCAGGAAAGGAGAGGGCTATGCTGTCCAAGAGCAGGACTGTGATTCAGGAACTCTCTTCCAATACTAAACCACTTAACCTTAGGACTGACTTATTAAGTAAACATGTTTTGGTCATTGTACTGAGCAGAAGATCCCCAGGAGTTGTTTCTCAAGACCTGAAAATGTCATTGAAGTTACCAACGTGAGCACAGCACCCGCTCAGTCTTTTCAGGAGGAGATGACATTCTTCCTGCTGTGTCACAGGCCTTCAGCTGCTAAATCTGAATGTTTGTTTGGCCAAAAACTGATTTACAAGGTACAAACCCTGGTGAGGAAGGGGCAACCTGGGATCCAAAATTTCCAACTTGTGCAGGAAAGCAGAAATTAATTTTTCTTGTTCTCGTTTCGGTCATTGTAGCTGTCACTGCAGATAAATCATTTGAGCCCAGTTCAGCTCACATTCCAACTGATGACAGGACAGGAGTGCCTGGAGGGAAAGTTAAACTAGAGGGTCTAATGTTCCATGGTCTCTCTAGGTTTAATTCTTTCTACAATCCAGATGCCTTTTTGGGCATCTGATGCCAAATTTCCCTCTGATATTCCCTCTATCACCTCTCTGACTACCATCCCAACAGAGCCCTCTGCAGGGACCCCCCCTTCCCCCCAGGGCTCTGTCTGGCTCAACTACTGCCATGCTGGAACCTCCTGCACATCCCAGCTCATCCTCCTCCCTTCCACTGCCCCTTCTTTCCCTCCCTCAGGAGGTGTGATTCCTGCTGATCCCATTCCTAACCCATGCAAAGTGACCTGAGTGATGCTGCTGAACTAGAGGGGCCAGAGGTAACATTTCTTTGCTCTCATTAACAGGCAATTACCAAGGGGTCTGAAGCTGTCAGATCTGATAAATGGACATTAAAATATTCCTTATCTTCGTTTGCTTTTCCGATTTCCCTCAGAACAGGGCTCTGCTCACTGAGTCCTGCGTGGGAGGGTGGGGGGTGACCTTACAAGGTCTCACAGAGAAGCTGCTAAAAGCAGGACCTCCTCCTGCTCATAGTCAAACCCAGTATCTGTTCAGATCACTACCCATGGCTTCTCAGTTGTTTTGGTAACCATCAGTCAAATCTTTCCTGGGATATTCGATCTCTAGAGTGATTTTTTCATTAACCTTTACCACAGAAAACCACCAGAAAGAGCAGTAAAACAGTCACCTTTGAAAGCAGCTTTCAGAGCAACTGAACAGCTGCTGGGTGGCATCTCTCTGGGGACATGTGAGAGGCTACAGCAGCCAAAAAGTGACCATTACCCAAATAAAGTTCTTTAAAGCACAATTCTAAAGCAGGGAGGAGTTCAGAGCAGATGATCCCATGTCCCAGGAGCTCAGGTGGTGCCTTGAAATAAGACAGCGTGTCTGCACCGTCATCAGGGTTGAAAGCAGGGAAATAAATCAATAATTGTGTAATCAGTAGCATCTTACTTTTTTTTTAATGAACCTGTAGGATGAGGATTTCCCCCCAGTGCCCTCCCTCTCCTTTTCCCCAGAGCTCATCTTTCACTTTGTCATGCAATTCCCAGCTGGCCAGCTGCAGCCGGCCTCGCTCCCTTTTCCATTACACACTCGGCTGAGCCAAGGACAAAAGGGTCCCTGGATTCCAGTGAGAAGGTAATTAATTGACTTTCTGCTCTCATTGCTATGCGGCAAAGGTAGAAGCCCGCAGCAGCCACAGTTCATCTTTAAACCTGGAAGATTAGTCACAAACGGCATCATTATGGAGGTGATCAGCTGCTCCCAATAAAGGAACTAAGGGGGGGCTCTCAGGATGAGGGGGGCTGTGATGAAGAGAACGAGAGCCACGAGTAACAAACACCCTGTTGACCCATCAGCCAGGTGTTGGCATTTGTAGCTCCTCTCTCATATGGTCTCTCTCCTTTACATCTTAAACCTGTCCTAACCTCCAAGCTGGGCTGAGATCAGAGCCACCACTGCTTTGGTGGCTGGTGTCACCCCCGCCACACATTCTAGGTAGGAATAAAAAAAAAAAAAATCACTTTTTGGAAATGTAGGTAAAATAAGTGACTGATTTGATGTCCCATCCCTGGAAGTGTTCAATGCCAGGTTAGACAGGGCTTTGAGCAATCTGGTCTAGTAGAAAGTGCCTCTGCCCATGGCAAGAGGCTGGAATAAGATGGTCTTTAAGGTCCCTCCCAACCCAAACCACTCCGTGATTCTATGCTTGTGCAGTGTGCCAAGCTCAGGTGAGCACCTTTCCCCTTTTTGACAGCAGTGCTGTCCCCTCGGAGACAGAGACGTCACCAAAATCAGCTTCTTAGTGTGATGGAATGGAAAATTCTACCAAAACTTTTTACAAGATCATTTTTCAGCTCAAAATACCAAGCACTATTCTCTATCTGAGACATAAGGACCACACACATGCAGAATATTACACATGTGCTGAAAACATGTTTGAATTTTAGCTCTGGACACACACTGGAAATTAATTCCTCTCTTTTCAGCAGCAATAAGTAATGGTAAAATGAACCCATTTTCCTACTGGAAGAAAGACTATTAACCCAGGGAGATGCTTCCATTCTAAGCACTAGAACGTTTACGGAATGTCTGACTAAGAGCAATTGTTTTGTTAATTGTGTAAAATAGCTTCTTATTCTTCAAGGGTTTTTTATTTCCCTGGTGATTTTCAACTAAGCTGATCTTCCCTATCTGCTAAGTTTCTGTTTAAGCACTTCTCCAATAGTTGTACTCCAGATTTAAAGCAATTTGGTAAGGAAGTTCTACCCAGGGGCAGAGAACTTGAGGGCATCCCAGTATTTCATGGCTGCCCAAAACTGCTCCTGCTGGTGCCAGGAATCCATGTGGTACCTTCTTTCCTGCAGCTAGCACCAGCAGGGAAAGGTGGCCTTCTTGGGAGAGCTCTTTCTCTCAAAACCCAAGGTAGTTATTTGGGCACATTCAACCAGATAAGGGTTTCTCACTGTGCTGGAGTTTGGGGAGTTCATCATGTCTCCCCTGAGTAATCAGTTGTTCTCTACAGCCCTCTCTGGCTTTTGGTGATTTCTCACTTCCCCTCAGCGCAATGCCTCCAGCCCTGCAGGGCCTGATGTGCTATTTGCCTGAGAAGGTCAGCAGCAGAACAAATATTTGCCCTTCCTGTGTCTCATTCAGGGCTTTATAAGAATTAAAGTTTTATTCTATGATCAAACTGTATCTCTCTCTCTTTTTTTTTCTTGGTTCCTTGCTACTCTAATACTGTTTCCTTTGATTTTCAGATAGTACTAATGCCATTTTGTCAGCATACACACACGAAACCTTGCCAGGCTCTAAATCTGTGTCTTAGTGACAGCACAAAAAAGCATTGTTCTCATAGAATCACACAATGACTTGGGTTGGAAGGGACCTTAAAGCCATCTTGTTCCAACTCCCTCCCATGGGCAGGAACACCTTCCTCTAGAGAAGGTTTCTCCAAGCCCTGTCCAACCTGGCCTTGAACATTTCCAGGGAGGGGGGTCTCTGCAGGATGGTCCCGACATGGGGCCAGACCCCACATTTACATTGATAACCACAGAAGGGCTTTTTCTCCTTCTGTGCCTTGTTGTCCACTCACTGGTGGAAGTTCAGCCTCTTCTACTCACCTGTGTCCCAAGACACATTCACCTGCAGATCAGGGCTCATTTCTGGTTCAGCCTCCACAGCACTGCACAAGGAGTGCGCAGGGGCTCACTGTGGAGTGTGCTGAGGAAGGATGTAGAGAGGTTTACTGGCTACAAGGCGAAACCTGTCGCTGGAAACAATGCAGAGATCCTCTTCTCACTTCTGGTCAGGTCCATCATCAGTGTACAACGCCTGTAAAAGCACAAGGCTCAGTCCCCTGCCAGCATGCCCAGGAGAGCTGTCTCATTTCACTGAGGTGGTAACTGCTCTCCCACATGGACCTGAGCACAGTCGTCACACACAAGGAGCTGAGAGGGACCCCAGCTGCAACAACAGCAGGAGTAAAAGCACATTGTTAAAGGTGTCAGCTTACAGCACACAGCTGGGTAGAAGCAGAGATTCATTTGCACCTTTCCGAAAGTGTTGCAAAGCCTGAAAGTAATTTCTTTCACTATTCTTTGAGCCTTGTGAACTGCCTTCTTCAACCCTGCACGGTGTTTACTCTAAAACTCAATGAAGGTGACCTATGTTTCTGCTATTTACAAACAGCTGTTTTTCTGTGATCCTCACAAACCATGTGGCTGTACAATCAGTGGTACAGCAGCATCAAAGTGTGCAGGCAGCAACAGCATCCCAGGAAGCTACATTCTGGTGTTCCCAACTCCCTTTTCCATCACTGCATCCAAGGGATTTCTGCTTGTGTCACCAGTAGCCTTAATGCACTTACCTGCATGACAGCCATGCTTCCCCCTTCTCCTCCCCAGCTGCCTGCATCAGAAACTGGGACATAGCTCTGAGGGGCTCCCTAGAGTGATACTGAGGAAAATACAAAGGTAAAATGTGTTTTACTGTTTGAACATTTAACACCTCACACAGACTTTAACAGCTTTGAATTTACAGCCCACCAGACCATTCCTGTGCTTGAACAGGCGTGCCATGAGTTGTGCTTTGCATCCACCTGCACAACCTGAGCACTTCCCTGTGTCCATGGTGAGACCGCAGAGCTGCTGCCCTTTGTCTCTGATGCGCGAAAAAATAATGCCTTAGGTCGTAAAGAGGCATTTCTGAATGGGCACACACCCTCAGGGTACTGTGTTATGAAGGAAGGAAGTGTATTACCTGAGCCATAGTAAAATTAATTGTTTTAAAATGTGTAGGTGGAGAAATGTGCACATAGTGTACATAGAATCTCCTGAGCTGGAAGGGGCCCACGATGATCATCGAGTCCAACCCCTAGCCCTGCACAGCACACCCCAACAATCCCACGTGCTTGAGAGAGAGCATTATCCAAATGCTTCTTGAGCTCTGGCAGCCTTGGTGCTGAAAAAGATGTAACTGCTATATATAGAACACAGTGGCTACAGTAAATCACCCTTTTCCCCATGGAGTTACAGCAGGGTGTGATTTGGTTCATGTTTTATGCCCTCAGATTTTCTCTGGGGCACTCTTCTGTAGGTTACTGGGCAGATACTGGAGCTACAGCCACTCATCAACATCCATCCATCCTTGTTGCAGTTGCCCCTTTGCTCAGGGAATCACTTTGTTCTTTGGGGGCCAATAACAGAGGAGCAGCCAGCACTGGCTCAACATCTTTCAAGAGGGTTGAGCTGGGCAGATTCAGAACTCTGAGCCTAAGACATTTTGGTTGTGCTGCTGATACACTGTGGGTATTGTTGCCAAATGCTCGGCGTACACAAACCGAGGGGCCATGATTGTGTAGATTAGGAGGCCCAAAGTAGTGTGAGGCAATGGGGAATTATTCCTTGCTTTATCTCCTCTGCTCAGTGTACGTCATCATTCCTGCCACTCCATGATCCCTGGTCCCAAAGGATGCAGCTGCCAGTGCTGTTCACCTGATAAGGGAAATTCTGTCGTGTTTGTTTGTACAGTTTCTTTCCTTGCATATTTTGCATAGCCATGACTGTTATTCTGCATTTCTTACGTATAAAGAGATATGGAAGACAGCACACACAAGGAACTCTAATACATGTATTTGCTGCTGATGTTACAGCATTCACAGTGGAGACCAGACCTGGATGCCTGATGTTACAGTGTGACATGCAAATTTATGCTGAATACCACGATACTCGATGGGAAGCTATATGATAATTGTCCCAGGAAAAATTGTCTGCACAAGAAGGTGTGGTGCACGTTCCCCTCCCTCTCTCTCCCTCGTCCATATTTTAACAGCACAGGTGAGACTTAGGTGGGGCACTTGAGATGCTTCAGACAGAGCAGCCCACCCCCAAGGGCACCATTTCCCTGCCTGACCTGCAGCACATTGCCAGTGTGAGCTGGAACCTCTGCCTTCCTCCTCCAATTGCATTATGCTGTAAATAAAAACCAGAACATTTTAAGGTACTGTAACGTCTCCTCCTGCCCATTTCTGTGGCCAAGGTGATCTCTATCACCACTGACTCAGATAATGAAACCAGAAAAGCAAGCTCAGAAAAGGGAGGTCAAGTATTAATAACTATAGTCATATGGAAATCTTGTCCTATATGCAATACTGAATGGGAATATTTATCTGCTTACCCAGGGATAATAATTACCTAAAGCCATCCAAATACCCACTTGGTACAAGGGATCTGCTGTGCCCCACTGGGACACTCTCAGCTACTGCAAATTGTGCCTGTACCCAGTGGAAATGTCTGTTTGCATCAACTGGGATCTGCAGTTCTAGGAGTTCCTGCTTAGCACTTGGCTATAGACTATCCAGCGGAAAAAAGGTCAGCCTATGACATCTCCTCAGCTGGAAAAGAGAGAGATTATCTAAGAAGTGTCCATTACTCATCTAATGGCCAATGTTTGATTATCAAGCATGGTTCCTCTTGGACTGAAGCCTCAGTCAGCAAATGTGTGTATCAAAGGCAAGGTCTGCAGTGCCAGCTGATAGCCCTCAGCTTTTGTGCTCTTAGCCAGGGTGAAAACGTCACAATATTCAGGAAAGCTAGAGGTCCAGGTCTCATTTAAATAAGAACTGATGGCTGGGGAAATGCACACCATTGACCAGCAGGGTATTTTCTACCTTTCAAAACTCCACTTTGTTGGAAATAGGCTAAAAGCAACTTCTAGACATGAAATTAGGAAAGGAGACACTCTGGGCAAATAAGATGTGCTTGTTGATTCACAGATAGAAAAAGTCCTTATTCATCCACATTTAAAAACATGGCAAAACACCCCATATCTTTTTCTATGTCTCAGCATGCCTGTCCAAGAAATGGCAATGCTAAACTTAATTTTATTTACAGCTTTTGGGGAAGTCAAATATTTTGACCTCTACCTTTAAATCACAATGCTCTCAGTATTTCTTTCCTACTCTGATCCCATTGCAAGAGGTGGGGGAATTTCTATTGCTTTCATCGGGAGACAGATCAGGCTCATCAGGAATTTTCAGTGCTTGTTTCTTTGTTCTGTTTCAGGCTTGTGCATTCAAGAACTGGCTTATTGTCCGGCCTGCTAATGTTTTCAATTATGTGGTGCCCAATTCAATATCCCTACCTGACTGGGAGGCAGAAGGAGTTGGCTTTTTGTGTTCTCTGACCTAGAGCTGACTCCATTTGCTGCTTATCTGACTAACTAGTGAAGCAGAAAATGCTCACAATACAGCACAATTAATGACAGACTCTGAAAAACACACCAGACTCCAGTGGAGAGGAAGAAATTAGGCTCTTGCATAATGAAGGAGTTTGTTGATGATGTTTTTCTATTTATAACATTTTAAAGGGCAGGGAAGAACAAGGCTTAGCAGAAAACCCTCACTGTTTATTTTTTTCCCTAAAATTGGCTTAATTTTTTTTTAAATTGGACATGATAATATTCACACTAGCTGTGTGGCCCTGTGGAGTGCCAAGAGAGGGAGAAGGTTTCTCTGGCCTTTAACAATTGGTCTCTCTTGGCAAATACGGCAAAGTATTTAAATCTACACACAAAAGAAAAATGCCCTTTGAAAATAATTGCCAATTCTGATATACTACCATTAAACAGCATTTTATGGCAAAGATATGTATGAAATACACCCTACTTTGTCCCAAACTGATCAGAATTACGAAGTCACATCTATTAGGTGTGTTTGTTAGGTCATATTGGATTCAGCCAACTCTTTATCATCATACACCCTAAAAAATTCAGCAAACCTAGTGCTGCATTTGTTCTACTGAGTTACACATGTGCCAGATACAAGAAGAGACAAAGGCAACAACCACCTCTCTTCACTACCACTTCAGCTACAACTCTGACTGTTAACTCCTTAGTTTGTAGGACAACACCAACACTGTGTTAGCCCTCACTAGTTTCACTAAGTTCACTAATGGGATGGATTGTTTTAACCTCCTGGTCTTCAACTCTGGCATATGAGGTGCCTTTGAGCACTGTGAGAGAACCAGTAAGAGCAGTATAATCTTATTAATGTGATGATAATAAAGCGAACGGAACCCAAGGCATCAAAATGAGGTGTAAAAAGGGGAAAGAGCAGGCACATAGAGCTATCTCAAGGCATCATCTTTGTAAATCAGGAATATATTGATGCATTTACACTGCCCTGCTTTTCAGAGCAAACCCTGCTTCTGCACATGTGGGACACAGATAGTCCTTAGTAATATTTTTTAAACACTACCTGCCACTTTTAAATATTCAATCTAGATTTTACTTCATTTTATCTCTCCTGGAAAGCTGCCCCATGCCCTGTATTAGCCATGGTGAGGGTTTCTTTAGCAGAGCTAACCCTCATCCACCACCTGCAACACCCTCCCACAGCACGTGACAAGCAGAGGTGACACAGCCAGCACGGGGTACTGGGGGTTCTGATAGCATCCCTCTCTACTCCTGTTGGATCCAGAAGGATGTAGGTGAGGAAGCTGAACACCTCTCTGCAGCATCTTCATCAATTGTCCTAAGGGGCAACCATGTACTCCCAAGACCTATAGTATTCATGTTACTTTTAAAAAGAGAAATGCTTTTAAAACAATTGCACCATGTCTAAGTTATACACAGCCAAGATCTCATACAGTATTAGGATTATTAAGTAGTAGCTGTGCTGCCTCCTGAATAAACACACGAACACAAGCCCATTGATTTTCACAAGGGATGGCAAAGAAGGTTCAGTACAATTCCCTCTCTCAAGGGAGGACACACAGACCACATCCACGGAAGCTGGTGACCACTGCAAAATGGAGCATGCAGGAGATCAGAAGTGCCACAGCTGAACTTATTCATACATTCTTCATTTGGCATCTTTAGGCAGATCCAAAATTCAGCATTTCAACCAACACGTGGGTCCTGCTTCAGATCTCACATGGAACAGGTAATGCTCCAGAGGGAATAAAGACGATCAGTGTCATCTATTTTCACTGTTCACTCTCTGGCCACAAGTTTCAATCATTGCACAGAGGTAGACACTGTTGTGAATGATGAGCTCGTGTTTCCCCACGGGCCATTTTTCATGGCCAATAGAGCAACCAGATTTTTCAAGCACTAATAAATACATCTGCACAATGATTCAGTAGGACACATCATTTCCATCTCATCTTTGAAGTACAGGGTTTGACTGTCTAGTCAGCTTGAAATACACAGGATCTCCTGTTTTTTCAACGGAATTTGAAATTCTTCAGCAACTGGTATCTTCAAAATCCAGACCCTCTTGGCTTTAAATGCAGCCTGGAGGACTTGGACTACTCCAAAATCAGGTCTCAGAGTATCAAGCTGAGAAATACTAATGTAGCTCTGCATCTATTCTTTAGTGAG